GATATAGTGATGCGATCCGGCCATTTCTGAAACAGTACCACCTGCAACAGAAAGTCGAACCCAAGTAAAGATTTTAATACGATAGCTTTATAACTGAGGGACTGGTGCGCATAGAAACAGACAGACGGACATCAACTCTGCTGTTGATGCTGATCTAGAATATATATACTATGCGGGGTCGGAGATGTCTTCTGCTATGCGTTAAACATTTCAAGACAAAATTATAATACCCTCTACAAGAGTACACAAATGTAGCTGCAGTTGGTTTAAATCGAGTTGTAGGAGTGCGTGGAGAGTTATTTACCGTGAACTAACCTATATGCCCATGTAGGGTATCATAGTATTAATGTGATAATATTATTGTTTGGTTTTTCAGCACATTCTGCAGGGTATACATAACATGCTTATACTACATAAATAAATATATACATTGCATATTTTATGACAGCATTTTTCTCCTCACAATATTCTTACGCTGTTCGCATCATGGAATTGCATTTCGAATATTGACAGCTGACAGCCAACGGAAATTGCATATGGGTTGTTGCACAAAGTGACGTCTCAGCCAGATAAAGATTTCCTTTTTGCCATGAAGCACACGTAGTTCGATATGGGACCAACGACAAGCGGTGCCCCGCCCCAAACGCCAACAAAAGCTGTATATGTATATACCTATACAATGTTTGGGTTTCGTTAAGGTAATACGTGCCGTTTTAAACTTGGCCGAAAGGCACAAGAACAGCTGTTAAATATGAGCTATGCGTTGCCAAAAGGGAAATATTTGTCAATGCATATCACAAAACTAGATTATCTACGCTTAATTTAAGACAATTTTTTGTGCTTGCGTCATTTGAAATTCTTAAATTATGTTTCATATTCAAAAAATAAATGGCAGAAAAAAAAGAAACAACAATTAGGTAATCTAAAGTAAAGCAAATATTGTAAAACTTTTATAAATAAAACAAAAACAAACAACTGAGTCAAAATTAAAACAAATAAAAACACAAAGCAAATTTTATACCCAAAGCTGAGTTTTCTGTTGTTGTTGTTTTTGGTTTTGTGCTTTGTCACGGACTGTGGAAGAATTTCATTGTTTTTTTTTTGCTGTGTATAATGCCCAAGCAAATAAAGTTATCAACAATACTCAATAAAAAAAAAACAACAAAATGTGCAAAAATATACAACAAAAAAACAAGACAAGCAAAGAAATAAACAGAGGGAGAGTATATAAAAAATAAAAGCGGAAAAAAGAAATGTCGAGAGCAAAACAAACGAATTTCTTGTTATGAATGTCTCGACTGACCTTGACATTGAATAGATTAAAATATTGTTTTTTGCTGTGCAAATATTATTAACGCAACAATTTAATGTGTTATCTTTAAGTCGAGCGAGAGAGCGCGAAAGAGAGAGAGAGAGAGAGAGAGCGCGAAAGAGAGAGAGAGAGAGAGAACACGCAACCTGCTATATAGCAGCAACCGCCCTCCGCCCACCCACTGAACTTGAACCGAGCAACGCCCCTTATCGAATTAGCGCAATAACAATTACGTCCACTAGAGAGTCGAGACTATTTTTAAACACTCAACTTTAAGTGCTGCAAAACGATTAACGCTATATATGGGCACATACACACACATGCATAGATATATATATACATGCATTTGACATCTATTTGAATATTGGAAATAGTAAACAACTCGAACGCTTTTCTTTTTAGTCACCCGTTTTTGTTGGGGATCAGCTTTGGGCCAGTCATCGCATACCCTTGACAAATATTAATTACCTATCTAATATTTTTAATTAAGTATTTGATTTATCTTCTTATACATAGAATAAATTTATAATATACAATGAAGCATCTATGTGCATTTCTATATATCATACGTGCTGAGCTTCTTCCCGAGATATCTTAATTCGCTCTTCAAAAACTTTATAAATAATAATCTTATTATTTTCCTATTATATAGAAATATATAGAAATATATATTTTATATATTTTTTTACTCAATTTGTACAACATTTTAATATCATCAAATTTTTGTTTAAGTTATCCAAGAATTTTTTGATAGGCCTTGAGGCAGTTAATACTGCATTTCAATCTAATTAATTACAGGGTATAAATCCAGCGCACTCTAGAGCTTTTCTGTATTCTGTATATATATCAAAAATAATATATATGTTATTTATATTTACACCTTACTTTGTACCTCGATTATATAACACAAACAAGAGCAAAAATAACAAATAAATTAAAAAGAATACCAGACCGAATGTCTACGTGACCCTCCCACCTCCCCCTTTTCAGTTCAACCCCTTCTTCGTAGCCAGCGATCGCTGCTGTAGGACAGCAAAAATTAGTCATATGCACGCTTATCAACGCGCTTAAAGCGAAATTGTAATTTATTTTTAAACAATTACACAATTAAGGCAAGCAAGAGGCGAGTTCGCGACGATGCTTAATTACGTCATAACAACAGAGGAGAGTTTAAGAACTTTTTATTTTTAAAGAAGAAATTAAAATATTAAAAAAAGAGTTAAATAAAATTATTAACGAAAGAAAAGAAAATACTTAAAATAAATGATAAATAAATAAAAAAGAAAGCAATACTTACAAATTGTAATATACAATAATTAAATACATAAATAGAATAATATTAACTAGCAAATAAAAAATAATACATAAATACATACACAAAATAAATTTATAGTTATAATTATAATTACATATACAATATATTAAGTATTATCTAATAAAGAAAAATATACAAAATATATGATAAAAGATAAATAAAAGAAATAAATTAATTTTAATTAAATATATAATATACATTTATTATGAATATATACATTTTATAATTTAAGAAAAATATATAAAAATAATATAATAATTATAACTATACTTAAATCTCTATATATAAAACTGTTTGTCCTGACTGACTGACTGACTGATTGGTGATCAACGCACAGCCCAAACCGTAAGAGCTAGGAAGCTGAAATTTTCACTGTAGCTACCTTATGTGATGTAGGTGCACGTTAAGACGGTGTTTCGGGAAATTCCACCCCAGTGTGGAAAAATCGCGAAAAACGTTTGTATGTAACTTTTTAGTTTACCATCGGATCGGCCTCTAACTTATTTTCAAAGATCTTTGTTCAAATTCATTTGAGGGGTGTTTCACACTTTTAGGAAAATCCATACCTCCTTGGTGGAAATGGAGGTCAAAGATTTGGTGGGTGACGTTTCGCGCTCAAATTCATTTCCAGAGATATATAAGAAAAATTATTTGAGACGTGTTTCACACTTTTCGCAAAATTCAAACTTCTTCGGGTTGAATGCGATTCAAAAATTTTTTTGGGCGAAGTTTTAAGTTGTGTCCGATTTGCTTCAAACTTATTTTCAAAGCTCTACATAAGAACTTAATAAATACGTATTTTAGCGATTTGGGAAATTCCACCCGTAACAGTGGTAAATTGGCGGAAAACGGTTGTATGAAAGTTTTTTGTTCACGATCTAATCGGCCCCAAACTTATTTTCAAAGATCTTTGTTCAAATTCATTTGAGGGGTGTTTCACACTTTTCGAAAAATTCGTTCCTCCTTGGTGGAAATGGAGGTCAAAGATTTGGGGGATGACGTTTTGTGTTCAAATTCGTTTCCAAAGATCTATAAGAAAAATCATTTGAGACGTGTTTCACACTTTTCGCAGAATCCAAACTTTTTCGGGTGGAATGCGACTCAAAGATTTTTTGTGCGAAGTTTTAAGTTGTGTCCGATTTGCTTCAAACTTATTTTCAAAGCTCTTCATAAGAATATAATGAATACGTGTTTGATAACGTCATTGATAAATTGGCGGAAAATGTTTCTATGAAAATTGTTTGTTTACCGTCCGACAAGTTTCAAAATCATCTTCAAAGCTTTTTGAGAGCGTTGATTTTTAACATACGTTCCACGGGCAAGGCCGGGTTATACCCGCTAGTATATAATATAATTAGTATTAACTGAGAAAATAAAGCAAGCAAAATGAAAATATGATTTATATTGAGGCATGTGTACCAAGCCACATAATAATTGATTAAGTGCCCATTGACTACATTTAAGTTAATTGATCTGTAGTCGTACCCTTAACCTAGTAGTAATACCCAAAACTGGACTGGGTCAGCGGAATCGGCCACGCCCATAACTGAGAGCGTGCGAATTTGTAGCAAAAGCGTTTTGGCCTTTTTTATTTAACTCGCTGTTAATTTGGCCAATTGAAATTGGCAATGCAGCTGCTCGTTGCCAAGATTCATAAATTCGTTGCGTTTCATTTTGCTTTTCTTTTATTTTTTGGGTTTCTTTAATGTGTTTTATTGTTTATTAATAAAAGCGCGGCCGATGTGCATATGGCTAATGAATTTTAATGGCTGTGCTCTCGGCTTAATTTTTGTATGCTTATTTTTTTTTTCTTTTTCGGGGGTCCGAACGCACGTGCGTCGCTGATTGCCATTTTTTTGTTGGTTTGTTTTATTTTATTTTTTTATTTTTTTTTTGGTTTTTACTGTGGCTGAGTGCTGACTGTTAATTAAAAGCTGTTTGAATGGTTATTTTATTCATTGGCATATCGCAAAGGTAAGTGGGTAGCATATATACTCACATTTATGTAGCGTATATACTCCATTTAAATGCCAAGCACCCGCAATAAGTAGAATAGGCTCCAGCTGAGCGGGCTGTAATTTATAGACGACGAGCAACAAAACTTCGTCTTGTCAAATTGGAGTTGGCACCGACCCGCCCAGCTCTGCCACACCCCGCCCCATCATCTCAACCAACTCAGAACAAAGGCTAAATTAGAATATTAAACAACATATAACACACCAGTATATACAAGGTTTTAGCTTTTTTTTTGGGCCTTTGTTTGGTTTTTTTGGTTCCGAGCAGCTGACTTTGACCTTGCTGGAAATTCCATGTACAACTTGTTGTGTTGTGCATATACTCCACAGCCTAGATCGGGGCATTATAGCTAGGCCATGATTTTTGTTTCGGGCTGTTTTTTTTATACACTAACAAACAATGAAATTGAAATTAAAGAAATGCTGTTGTTGGTGCGTCGATTTGCGCTGTGGCTCTGTCGTAATCTATGTGATCGAGTTCTTTTTTGCTGTCTGCGGTCTTTGCCTGGGTGAATGTGAGTCGCGATCAATCGGAAATTTAGCTTTAGGCTAAAACACTTCTGACAGGGTCTGCAGATAATCACTTTTGGATAGTGTTACGCATAGGTTATATGATGCACCTGCTTGGCACTGTTTTCCTTCTCATGGGCATCATTTTAGTAAGCCCCAATATTCAATAAATATTCTTCACTTATTGAAATACAAAAACTCATAGAAATCGCCTGGCTTTTTGATGGTTTATTTGGTAACAAATGGCATACACGTTTTTACCAGCACCACATACCTTACTCTCTTGGCTTTGCGATGTGTTCGTTGTATCTATATTGTTACGTTGTCAACTTTTGGTATTGGTATGTATTTAGCATATAATCAAAATATTTATATATTTCTATATCTTTTCAGTGTGTAGCATTTATTCTTGGTTAGTTGTCTATTCATTTCGACTCAGATGTAAATGGGAACAATCAATAGACTATGATGGTTCGGCTTTCTAAGCGTATATATATTAATATATATTAAAATGTTTTTTAATCCAAAATTCCACATTTTTTTCACATTTTATGTGCAAACCTCCTGAATATCTCATTATTTACAAAATAAATAAAAATAATATAACAAATTAAATAAAAATTAAACAATAAAAATAAATATAATAATAATATATACATATAATAATAATAAATATAATAATAATAAATATAATAATAATAAATATAATAATAATAAATATAATAATAATAAATATAATAATAATAAATATAATAATAATAAATATAATAATAATAAATATAATAATAATAAATATAATAATAATAAATATAATAATAATAAATATAATAATAATAAATATAATAATAATACATATATAATAATAATAAATATAATAATAATAAATATAATAATAATAAATAAAATAATAATAATATAAAGCTTAATTTGTTCAATTTTATAATATAAATATTTGATTTATATTAACTTGTTCTAGAAAGTCTTGTTAGTATTATTGACATGAATAAAATTGTGTTTTTTTTTTTTTTTTTTTTTCAAATATATGTCTCGATTTAAGAGTATTTGAAAGTCGCCTTTTTTAATTTATTTTATTTTCTTTACATATTATTTTAGCAGCTTTTATTTTCGGTGAGTTTGCTTTCTGACATTGTTATTCTTCGTTTTTCGGCCAAATTGCTTGTTGTTGTTGTTATTTGAACTGCTCTTGTGTATTTTCGGACATAATTTCACACTAATTTGTAAATTTGCTTTTAATGTCAAAAACAAAGAGTAAAATGCTAGAAAAAAATAAATAAAATGTCTGTAATTTTCGGCCAACTTGTTTGTCTACGAAACAATCTCGACTTTGCTAACCTGCAGCTCAAATCAAATTAAATACAAGAAACTGAGGCGAAAAATGCAAAATGAATTGCAAGCAATAAGAACCAAATCGAGAGCGAGTTTTATTGTTGTTGCTGCATTTGTTGTTGCATTGCTTCGAATCACTTCATTCCGTTGCAATTTTCAATCACGTGCTAAGTGCTGCCAGACAAAGCAGACACGAGAGACAATTTGTCTGCAGCGTTAGCATGCAACATGAAGGGGCAGCAGCAACAGCAGCAGAAACTACAACTATAACAACAACAACTAGTGCTCTTCACCATGGCAATTGCTGCATAATTTCTGTGCTCAAACAAAGGCAGCAAAGCGTAGAGCGAGTGGAGCTAGGATCCCCGTACAAAATCGAGTGGCAACTATTTGCCCTATCACGTACAAATTAAAAATGTGAAATGCTTCAATTTGGTGCAAGCAATGCGCTTGCAACACAAACACACAGACACACACACACACACACAGACACACACACACACACACAGACACACACACACACACACACACAGACACACACACACAGACACACACACACAGACACACAAAAGCAGTTGCAACAGCAGCAAAATGCTCTTTACAACGGGGCGTATGAATTGTGGAGCATCAAATAGATTGAGTTGCAAACTTGTTGTCGTTTGCTTCCGATATTAAGCTTTGTCAAGAAATAGATATGTACTCGACTAGTAGATACCCTGTATTCTCTAAATACATTTTTCTGCCTTTAACAGTCCGTTGCTCCAAGCTAAAGTGACCTTTACCATACATACACTTAACTATAAACATTTTAAATTCTTTATATTCTTCGGACTGTTGCATTCCGTTGCTTAATGTCTATATACCCTTTGTTTTAAAGCATAATGTATACAGGGTATTCAACTGTTTAGTTTATGCAAAATAACTTAAACGTGCGACAAAATATGTTTAATATTACCCTATTTGACTAAAAGAGTTTAAAATAGTCTTCCAAAAGCGGCTGTCAATAAATTTTCGAGTTTTTTATGTCAAAAACGCTTTAGTTTTGACTTTTTGTTTGTGGCTCAAATTTTGCATTAATTTTCAAACATATTTGAGAACAAACAAGTTTTTATACATGCATAGATAATTATATAAATAGCCATTTTTCAATATGTATGTCATAATTTAGTTTTAATATTTTAATTAAGACTGTTGTCAGGCAAATGAATTGATTTTTTTTTTTCTATATTCCAATTATTGACAATTCGTATGCCTCTTCCGTTTGTCAATACGAGCGATCAATAATAAGCTGACCGACTTGCATTAAATGCCAAAAACGATCAACCTTAATAACAACAGGCACCAACTGCGATTTTTTTTGCTATGAGAAACCTATTGAATTTGTCAAATAACTTGAATTGTTGATATTTTTGATAATTTAATTGCAGTTGTTGTTGTTGCTGGGCCACACCTAGCCATAAATATCGAAATACATATAAATAAATACCAAATAGTTGGGGAGGTACATAATTTTCGTGCATTTGCCGCAACTCACGTTTTTCACATCAATTTCGCGACACAACCAAAAGCAAAATTCAAATTCAATTTTCTATATGCGCTGACTAGTGTACACTGTGCACATATATTTATATTTTTTTGTGAGTTGCAATTGCAATTGGATTTCCATAGCTGGTTATTGATTAAATTTGCCACTTGGGCTACTTGGTTAGACGGAGCGGCAGCCGGCACGTCCACGCCCCTAAAATCTAGACAGCTAGCCTCGGGCTTGAACTTTTCAAAAGGCACACACAATCGCACACACAATCACACACATACACACATACTCGCACACACAGTAGGCTAGAGAGCAACAAAGCATTAGCTACCTGCCAATTTGTAGCCTCCAGGAAAGCCAAAACACAAACAAAACTGCAAAAACTGAATCATTGTGATTGCGAGGAAGCGATTTATTGGATTGCCCATTCGAAATGGCAAAGTTGAAGCCACAACGAAAAAACAAAATGACTGCAAATAATTTATCTCTAATTTACTTTTTACTTTCATTTCGCTTACAACTCTATTTTAGTCGAATATTGTGGGTGCAGTCTGAGAAAAACAAATTTAAATAAACATTTTCATATTTAGTTTTCCGCAAGCTCAAGCTAAGCTACAAAAAGAAGTTACGCACTGCAAATTTTTGGCAATTTATAAAGATTATGTCGAATTTGGCTTATCGGCTATTTGAGTAAATGGAAAGGAAACTTTAGCTTGCGGGGCGAGAAGTCTACAGCAAAAGTGCCTAACATATAAAAATGATTGGTAATTCAATACGATAAATGCAACAAAAAACAGCGTAAACTGAAAAAAGCAAACTAGCAGTGTACAAAATTTAAATGTAGTTTTAAGACAACTGACAGCTTTTTTAATGCCAATTGTCGATATTTGTTGAAGTGCATTAATTCAGAAATTCGAGAACCGATAGTTTTATGTTCAAAATTTAAATATTCCAAATTTTCGAAGGTTTTCCACAGATTGTAGTTCTATAATAAATGGGTTGTGATATTTATCAGTCGAGTTTCGATATTCTACAAATTTTTTCGATGCAAATTTCAATAGTTAGTGGTAGCCAATAATCAATGAATTAGAGCTCTGGCTCTGCAGTCGATATTTTTAATAGCAGATATACTTCTTAATCAATATTTGCGATAGTCGATAATTCCATGTTCGACATGTTATTCTAAAGCTTTAAACATTTTTCACGAGACATATTTATTTATTTTTTGTATAAATATAACAGAATATGCCAAACCACATAAAGATTTATAGTATTCGTCGATTATCCTCTTAATTAAGGCTCACCATAGACAATTTATAATAAATAGGCACAATAAATTAATTATATTATATAGATATATTACTATTTGGTTTAATAATTTTACTATGCCCAATATTTGAAATTTGTCTACCCCACTAAAAATCGTTTTAAATGTCGTTTAATTGCTCAATGAGTTTAGCGTGTCTAGTTCGCTGTAGCGGGTGTTTACTGGCCAACATGTATAAAATAGGCGAAACCACTTTTAAGCGTTGCTCTCCCACAAACTGACCGCAAATCGCCAGAGCATCGAACACGAAAATCGGCGTCGACTGCAAATTGATTAATGGCATTAAATGCATTCAACAATTTCCACCCGGCAGCAGGCAGCGGACAGCAGCAACAAGTTTTTAATGTGTAATGTGAGACCAAATGATTGTAGTCGAGTGTTTGGTTTGCTGGCTGCCGATCTACGCTTATTAATTGCTGTTGTTGCTTTGGCCCAATATGGCCATTTGGCTGGCCGTTTATCCCATATCAGATCGGTGCAATCTTCAGCAGATATCAAATTGCGGCAACAGCTAACAAAATTTGTGGCCATTTCGCAAAATTTGCGCGGAATTAATTGCGCAAATTGTAGTCCAACAACAGTGGACCATAATTTACATTTAAGCCATGAATAAATGATCGATAGGAATGTGTTTATAAAAGAAATTTATGCATTTCTTGGCGCTGCCACAGATACAAATTTATGCATGTATTTAGCTTGACTGTCGCCGCAATCGTGTCTTGCTCAAGCACAAAGGCGTGCAAATTAATAAATATTTTATAATAATAACAATATAACTAATATTATTGCATTTTTTAAAGACCAACACACAAGCTAATTAAATGCGCCCGCAACAAACCACAATTTCTAAGCGGCCCACATGACGACAGACACTTTTAAACAATAACAAATGAGAGGAAATAATGATTTTCGGCTTGACGAAGATCAAATACCCTTGTAGAAATACGAAGACAGTTATACTATGTTATTATAGTTAAAATATAAAAGGTTGAAGATGATAGAAGTAATCGACTCGTCGCCTACCTATGGCAGCTATATAATATATTCATCTGATTCGTATTTAAGGGCTGCTTCAATGCGTTGCACACTACATCACTCAATTGTTATACTCTAGGCAAGTGTATGACAAAGAGAAAAATGCACTTGAATCACAATAGCGCAACATAAATCATAGCTAAAAGGCCATGTCAGATGAGATCAGTTCCAGCTACAATATGGTCTCTTAACAACACGCACGGGCCAAGGAGCAGCCCAGCCCCAGCTGCCCAGTTGCAGCTCCAGCGCTGAACTTTAAGCCCAGTAGCCAAGCAGGCGGCAAGGCAGGCGTGTGCCAGCCAATTGGCAATTGGCAT